AAGTAAAAATGAAAAAGGAAACTCTCTTGCACTTTATTTTCTTTACACCATTCAAGAACTTGGTAAAAATGTATAGGTGATGAAATACTATTCCTAAAACTTAAATTCTGTCATGTTGTCAGAGATGTAGTTTTTCTTTGAGAGTACAGGTTTCTTTCTTTAGGACAACCCCCTTCTTTAATAGTCTTGCATTTATTGTCTTAAAGATGAGTATTAATACACTGTTGAACAGCAATGATAAATTAATTGTGGATTTTTAATCTGGGAGAGATTATTTCTCTGAAATAATAAATAATGCCTTCTGTAGGCTCTGGCTGAGGATGACTATGAGGCAAGAAGAAAAGACCATATCTCTCATTTCATACTACGCCTCGCTTACTGTCAGTCGTAAGTACTTTTGTGATTATGCTGTACTCATATTATTAATTTTAAATGTACTCAGATACTACCTTGCTTTATTATAGATATTACAGATATTTTAGAGTTGTGTGGCTACTAGATAGACAGGGTGTCAAACAGAGGGATTTTTTTTTTTTGTAGGAACCTGATTTCAACTGTGATGAAAAGGGATATTTGGGATCAAAATTAATATCTAGATTTTGTAATTATTAAAAAAAAAGATAAACTTTTGGGTTTTATGCATAGAACATTGATTTGAGTCTCTTTGTTTTGACATCTTTTTTTAAGATTAAAGCACCCAGTATTAAGTGTTTGTCAGGCATTCTCAGTGATTGATAACTGTTGCGTATGCTTAAGCTGTTGATTACTGTCCAAAGACCTGACAATGTAAATAAGCTTTATATTATTGTCTAAAGAGAGAGCCTTGTTTCTGGCATACTAAATATGCCATCTGAGTTTGAGGTTTTCTCTACTGACTCTGCTTTTCTTCCAAATTCGTTGCCATGGATGGTTGCACTGCAGTTTTTTTGTCACATGAAATCTCAGGCACAAAGTTGGTCTTATCAAGTGCATTCCTTTTGTTTCAGCTGTAGTTTTTGGATAAAATTATAGTGCACTTTATGTCTGTTAGCAGCTTTGTTATGCATCAGTGTGAACTGCTGACTCCTTGCCATTGCAGTCCTTTTTTAGAATTAAAAGTAGCAAATATGAAGTGTCTACTGTTTTGAATTGTTAATTCAGTTGCACTTTAAGTTGCGATATAGTTTGTTTAAATTAGATGAGTGTGATAGTATGCATATTATGATACCGTGATAGCTGACATGACTGAAGTGCTGCTATGGATAGATGCAGATTCATAAAGAAAAATAGACTGGGAAGGTGAGTAGGAGGGATTGTGTTCTAGGCTAGGATTTGGTGCTGAAATGGATGGGGGCTTTGCTTTGGAATGGGTGATGAGAAAGTTGAGAGTTTTGGGACAAGTGTTGGAGAACAGATAAAGATAGCGAACAACATGGTAGGTGCCTGCCATAGACCATCTGATCAGAATAGGAAGTAGCAGAGGCCTCAGAAGCCTCCAGATGGAGGAAACCTCACCATGCCAGACCCTGGGTGACTTTAACCACCCTGAAATCTTCTGGATTATTCACATCCCACTCTGTTGCCCTTTCAAAAGACAGCTGGGCTGTGCGGAAGATAGTCTGTTGATTTATGTGATGAATGAGCCAGCTAGATCTGTGATGCATGTACAGCGAGGAACAGGTTGTGGATGTGAAAGTCAACAGCAGCCTTCGCTGCAGTTACTCTGATAGTGTTGTTTAAAATCCTGAAAGAAGGGAGCTTGCTGAATAACAGAATTACAGCTGAAATTCCTACTACCCTTCTCTATTCTATATGCGTTATTTGTGATTATGAATAGGAAATACAAGACTGATTTCTTTCTAGCACTTATGTTTGCTATATATATTTTTATGAACTTCCTTATTCATACTGGTCCTGCTGATTTTTACAAGAAAATGTCTTGCTTTATCTATATTGTATCCTTAAGTAGCCTGGGACTAAAAAGCCCCTGAAAACTTAATGTTTCTTATTATGCACCTTGTGGCATTTTGAATAGTCAGTTTGGTTTCAATTATCTTCTCTTGTAAAACTTTAAGCATTTAGTTATTCAGGTGGGACCATTGCTTTTCTGTGGGTGATAAGACACCTCGAGGGCGTTGGTAGAGACACAGTTGAAGAAAGTTCTGCTGTTCTGGAAAGTAGAATTGTGTGGTGGCAAGAATCTGATCTGGACTTCAAGAGGAGTCTCTTTTTGGTTGGCCGGTGGCTTCAGGAAAAATGAGTTTGAGCCAGATTCACAGAAGGCAATACAAGCCACGTAGCAAAAGCCTGAAGGTTAGGTATCTGGTTCAGGAGTGGAATTCACTAAGCTTTGTCCACTGTGCTGAGAAGGGAGGAAGGCATATGTGCGTGACTCAGCATGCTGAGTGAAAGGCTGCCTCAGTCAGAAATAGCCAGGCAGGGACTTGGCTAAACATGTGCCTTTGTCGGTGATGTGCTATCTCTCCTCTCCTGCCAACATCTCTGTAATGGCTCTGGAATCTCCTGGAAATAATGATAGATGCAGGTAATGGAACTGCTTTCTTTTTCTGTGCAAGCTATCTTTTTAAAAGAAGGTCCTTGGTTTTAGTATGAGAGCTTATTTGACTGCAGTGCTTGCTCACAAAATAAATGGGAGACATGTTTTCAACCCTGTGTTTCAGGGAAGTATCTTAAGAATTAGACTAGAGGCAGGGCAGAGGTGGACAGCTTGTTGAAAGTGAACCACCATGCAGAAATTAATACAAGCTATTTTGGGCCACAGAATCAGGAGGAAAGAGTCTGGTTTTGTAGTCTGGGGGGGAAAAGAGCCTTTCTTAGGGAGGAGGGGCCTTGGATGCAGCTCCAGGGCACTCTTTTTAAACTACTTGCAAATGTATTTTTGTGTTCATGTTTATATACAGATATATTGATGTACTGTTTCAATAAAGCAGCTTCATAGTCAGTTTGTACTTAAAGTTGGGTGTTTTTTTTTTTTTTCAGAAGTGGACTTAGTGACTACTTATAAAATGGAAAATAGCATCTTAAGCACTGTGAGGTGACCCTGTACGCAGCATTCTTCATCCTCTCTTGTAAAGCAGCTATTTCAGGGATGAGATATTTCCATGCTCTAAAACTGGCATGTTCCAAAGATAAAATTGAGAGGCAAATAGAATACTGTTCTCTAAGTTTTTATCATATTAGGTCAGAAAAATAAGCTTGGCACAAATCATTAGGTTAATTCATGGAAGCTATTAAGGTAGGAGTGTTTGAAAAAGCATACTTAAATAGACATAAGTGCAAACTCGCTTGAATTCAGTGCCCGGTGGCCTGCCAGGCAGTTGTTTATAGGCTTGTTTTCCTGTGACACCGTCTTTTTAAGTTTCTAGTTGGCCAACAGTGCCACCCAGGGGTACAAGTTTACATCAGGTTATTTTTTTCTAGTTTGCATCAGTCCTCACTTATAAATTGGATTTTTTTTTTTTTTGTTTGTTTTTTGCATGGTCTGAAGTGGCCAGCTCCACCGTTCTTGTCAGTTAAATTTGTAATGTAGTCATCGTCTCTTGACTGTCCTTCTGTCTTCTGAAATACAAGATGTTAAAGCTTTTTCCCACGTAATGTTGCTAAGATATGGTATGTACAGTCTGGAGTGAACAGTGTCATCCATACCCTTCTTTCACACCTCTTGTAATATCACTTATATCTGTAAAGACCAGAAATAAAATAATCTTTATTTGTTCACTTTCATGGTAAACACAGCTCTAAAGAGAATTTTATTTGCATGTTGGCCATTGTATTGGGTTTGCGTGGCAAGGCTTTGGT